TATTACACCAGATTATTAATCAGTGCTGTCCATTTAGGTTTTAATTTTGATATTTAATTATTGAACAAAAACTTTAACTTTCAATCAGAATTAAAATACTTTTGTTGATTAACAACTTCATAACCATACAAGCTGATTTTGTTTAGAATAAGACAAAACTTTATTCAAAAGTGTACAACGTATTTAATTATTATATTATTCTTTACTGAATACTCACCAAGTCTCTTGATATCACAATTACATTTTAATTTGTGAAGACACCTATTAATGAATTGAATCACAGCCCCATTAATGTAATTAAAACAAACATTTGTCCAAACATAACTTTCCATTTCTAATACTCTCAAAGCAGGTAACACAAGCAGTGAATGATTATATACTTGTTATTAAACCTTACATTCATCTCCCTACATTTATTCATAACATAGTGTCATTCATTTTTTTTTTTACAAATTTGTCCTGCAGTTGGTTGTATGATCATTTACATCCCGTGAAAATACACTCATGGAAAGTCAATAAACATCTGAGTCAGTATAATAACCAATAATGATAGACAATTTTTTTTATTACACAAGATATACCAATGTAAGTGCTTTACCAAAATAAAACAATAAATCCAAACCAATTTCAGTTTTTTGAAAAGCTTCCATATAAAACAACTAAAGAAGAAATACAAGGAAGTGAAACTTTTACTTTAATAAGAGTACCAAACTAAATGTTTGATGTTGTCTTGCTGTTGCAGTAATAATTTCTCCTTTCTGTAAGATATACGCATATAGATTTTTGAAGATATAACTGATTGTAAATATTTTTTTGTTGTTTAACCTTTTTTGCACCTAATTAACTACAAAATATATATACATATTTACTTTGGTAGATAATGCTTTGGGTAAGTCCAGTAATAGGACATAAATATTATCAGCATGGCTTAAAAAAATACTGGTCTTAGATTTAAAAAATCAAGCTTTTCTTCACAGTCCAAATTCTCATTGAAAAACAGCACATTTTGAATCTATATGCATTTTACTACAGATTAAATTATTTTTATTATGATAAAAGTGCTAATGGGTAGACAGCTTATCTTACAACACACTTACGTTGCTAGATTTATGTGAATCATATTACCTTTTCAAAATACACGTGGAAACAGCAAGTTAAACAGTACTGGCAGTCTTTCATTTGTTAGTCACATGGAAGTCTTTTTCACCTTTCAATTTGATTAATTTAAAGTTTGACATTAAAAGATCCACTGTACAAATAAAACAGTAATTAGTTTATAAAGCAGAAATCTGAAACACTAACTTAGCATCAAGTAAATAAAGAATAAAAATCACTTATAAAAGCAAATTTTCCAATATTAATTATTCAAACTATTCTGAACTGTCAATATGCCCATATATAATCTAACATTCTTCCTTTTTTTTAATGAAAAAATGAATACAAATCCTCACAGTTAACATTCTGATCAGGTAGGCAACAATATTCCCCTTACAACTCAGCACACACTACAGATAAGACAGACATACACAGATGATTGTTATGATGACAGTAGCTATAAAAGGCATTGTCAATTTTTGACTTCTTGAAACCACACAGTTGTAGAAGATACCTATTAAACAACAGGTCCAGCAATCATAAGCTACACAATTTATTACAAGTATAATGTATTGTTGCAATTACTTTAGATGCTGGTACCTAAACACTGAGGTTTATCCGATTATAGATAAAATATGCAAGTATTGTTTACTATAGCAAATTCTATTTATCACATGTTTTAAGGAAATAATTACTTATCTGTATATAGGTTGCCAGGTATTTACAGATATTCTTTAGACACCTAGCTTTTCATATATTAAACATACTCCAAGAAAATAGAAACTGATACTAAAAAAATATTTGTGACAAATGATAAGTTGAAGTAAAGATAACCTTGTAATTAAGATATATATATCATTTTAAAGCATTCATAAGAAGCATGTAGTGACACCTATTCAAAAATAATGCTATAAAATACAGAAGATGGAATAATTTTTTTTATCACACTTAATCTAGGAAGAAAAACTATTTGTAAAGAACTTTTTTTTTTATAATGGAACGGTACTTCAATTACCTAAAGATAATTCTTTATTAGACAAGTTTAAATGTATTGCACTTGTTCTTTGGAGAGAGAGAAATATATATATATACTAAATCTAACAAGATATTTTTTGGGAGATACAAGTTTACAATTTATTAAAGCTGAATTAAAGTTCAAATAAATAATATTTCTAGGTGTGATACAGCTTTTCAACTAAAGTATGTAGAATACATCAAGTACAATTATACATTAAAATATAATAGTTCCAAGAAAAGTCTACAACTAACAAATATATGCTATGCTAGGTAAAACTTCAAACCTAACAGAAGTTTCTAAAGAAAAACATTTTCTTTCACTTAACACTGAATTTTATTAGTTATTTTCAACTTGCACCACAGCAAGTTCTTAACATCTTACTGACAAGAAAAAGTTGATTCAGTTAAGAATAAAACTCGAGTAACAACCAGCAAAACCTGTGTAATATAAACAATAAAAACTAACATTTATTTTATACTTAGGTTCAAAGATTACAGATACATGAAAAGAGGGAATTACTTTCATTTATAAGGGTGGTGTTTTCCTCACTACATTTATCACAGTCACTTGACCACACCATGTCTGTTTTTTCATCAATATAAAGTATGTTCTAGAGTTTATTACTTCTACAGTCAATCAAGTTAAAGTTTCTCCAAGTCAAACTGTAAAACAACTCCACAGAATAGTCATATCAAAGTCTTTTTCATCTTTCAATTTGTTTAATTTAAAGTTTGACATTAAAAGATCCACTGTACAAATAAAACAGTACTTAGTTTATAAAGCAGAAATCTGAAATACTAACTTAGTATCAAGTAAATAAAAGTGTGTGAAACGTAAAAGATTACTGAATTCTAGTTTTAAAAAATTAAACAGCAATAATTTTTCTTTTGTATCTAATTGTTCTCCTAATACAATAGAACCCCTGCCAAAATATATGTATATTTTCACTTTTTATATGCATATGATAGGAAAAAAATAAAGTAGTAATAACATGTCAATTTTTTTTACAATTTATTGTACACTTATGTAAAAATTTTTGTGTTCCTCACGGCATTCCAAAAATAAAACCACAAGGCATAAGGTGTATCATCTGAAGGCTAAAGTTAGAATTAATCCTATGGTGATATTGAATATCATTTTTTATTTTTAAATAACTGATTATGCACAACACAATGTGAAGTATGGTAATGATACAGGCTACACTTTTAATTTGTACTAAAAACACCAGGCTTAATTAGTTTGAGATAAATTTCAGTTATTATTTCAATAAAGTACTATGCTCTTTGTCTGCTCAGAATAACAGCTTTTTACAATAACTTGTGATTTTTAAACTGTACCTCATCTGTATACTAAATTATGTACCTCACTCACAAAATACACCTCTTTATCATGAACTATACATGCTTATCCTACATTAATTCATGTGTATTTGTCTTATCTATGAAATCCTCCCACAGTTGTGGAGCTGGCAGGACCAAACTTGGTAAAAGGACTTGGGGTAGCCTAGTGTCTTCAACCATAGCTAGTTCCCCTACAAAGTGTCATTGTTCAGTAATGATGGAGATCTAGGAGTAGGATTTAAGGGTCTCTCAACCTGAATCTGACATTAGATTTTGTGTTCCTAAGCCCTCTCACAATCCAGAGGGAACTGAGTACATACTCCTACTCATAAGCTAGTAAGACCAAACATGGCACATGTGCTCAGGTACTACAGATGGTTGTCCTAATGAGGTTTGTTCTGAATACAAGAATAATTTTCCCCATACTTACTGATAACTAGAGTAGGTTTTTAACTTATTTGTTGACCATAATATAATTCCAGCTGATTAGCCAAGGAAAGAAGATATTTTGGCAAAACTAAATATTATAACACTATAATAACACTAGTTGAGTATGAATTTACTTTGTGGCAAAATATTTATAATTCCATTTCTATACTGAAACAAAAATTATTTTCATTCATTTTCTTTTAATTGACATGGAAATCTTTGTACTTTATCTGTTTTTGGCATAGAAGACCAATATGTGTTACATACAAACTGACACAATACAACAAGCTAAACAGTGTCTGATATTCAAAAGACAACTTAGAAAATGTTTGATTCTGAGGTGCTAAAGTATGTTTTCACACATAGAATACTATTTTTGTTAACCCCCCCCCCCTTGAAGCTGAAAGGATGACCAATTTTGGTAAACTGAATTTACTAAGTGGCTAGGAAAATCAGAAACATAATGACTAAATTTGATGAATTTTACAATCTT